GGGGAGGTCCACGCTGATGAAGGACATCAAGAGAAAGAAGAAGAAGAGACGAGAGAGACAAAGGTGCACCCAGCAACCAACAGTAGCAACCCAACTAACACTAATAGACCACGTAGCGACTGATTGATGATGAAGCCATGGAGAATATCGATGAACGACAAACGACAACAACGATTTTAAAAACGAAATACTATAGACGATCAAATGTGTAGGGCTTGTAAAACATGCTTTATCTTCTGGCTTGTAAAGTTGGAACCCCATTTTATTATGGGCCTATGGAGATTGACTCACTGGCTGGAGCGCAGTCTTAAGGGACATTGGAGGAACTGCAGCTTTTGTTACTTTCATTTGTCAGCCATGGAGGATGCCCTTGGTAAAAGCTCACTTCTTTCGTACTCCATGGGCCTGGTTTTAACATCTATTTAAAAAAATGTGTGGTCTGCATGATTTGGCGGAGAATACTCAATTTCACTTCAGTCATTTTCTCAGACTTGACAAAGTTCCACTGGAGACTGGGAGGACGTGATTGAACTGTTTTCACAGGCTGTGCTATACTTCCTGTGATTAGTCAGTTGACCTTAACACATAAAATCAGTTCAAACACTCAGTTCTGCCGACTGGAATCTAGTTTGTGAAATTCAGGGTTGCAAAAAGAAATTCCACTTTCTATGCAGTAGTTAATCCCATGGTTGTTTCACAAGCTCAAAAAAAGTAATGCATTACTTTAAAAAAAAGTAACGACTAATATGCAGTACCTAAAATACTCAAAATAATATATTTCTTTTGAGTAACAACCCCAACACTGCTCACCAGGCCCTAGTATCAGTACGCACTGCAGACTACACATTGCAGCTTCATTATTATTGGCCCAGAGTTTGGTGATAATATCTGGTCCTTGTTTTGCTGTGTGTGTCAGTTTGTGGTATTCTGATTATAACATACATTTATTTAGGAATATGCTCTTAATCAGTGGTTCCCAACCTGGGGAACATAGGGTTTGCCAAAGCTTCATGTGGGGTCACAAGGCTTCTTAATTTTAAGGGATGTAGGAAAACTTAAAAAATACACACAGTATAATATGACATATGTTCATGACATAATATGTCAGCATTTTGTTCATTTCTGTGAACAAAAGTAAATGTAAAGTAAATTGTCTAATAGAACAATGGATGAATAAAATACTTAATTTGTCAAATAAGAAGCCTATTAGGTATTTGGTATGGTTGTTAAAAATTATAAAAAATACAGAGAATTGTATAAAATGTTCCCTAAAGGAAATAATCCGCTCAGAATTCATCCAAATCGCTGGTTTTAAACAAACTTCCTGCAGTTACTTTGTTCATTGAACTGTTTTGAATATAATATGAAATATACATAAAATATGTCACTGTCAGTTTACTAAATGATAGAAAAAGGGGCCCCTTAAGGAAAAAGGTTGGGAATTACTGCTTTAAAGCATAACAATAAATAACTATAAAACTAGATTTCAAGGTAAGGTAATGTTGCATTAAGGCTCCTATTATTTCAGTTACTATCTGTAATGATGCATGTTTTCAAACTAATTTTCAGTTATACAGCAAACTGTCTGCTTTACCTGGTTGCTAATGAAGGTTGTACATGAACATCCTTTTTCAAACAAGAAGCCATTATAAATGCTGGTTTCTAGTGACTGTTTAAACACAAGTTGTATCTAAATTGACTACTATTTTCACAAGATACGAAAAAATGAACTAATTGAATTTCTGGAAAATTTTGAAATCTGAAACCTAATGACCGCTCCGTTCAAATGTAAATGCTCTGTTACTGCCCCAAAGTGTTTATATGGGATCATAATGGTGTACCCTTTGTACAAGACATCCTATTACCACAGAACATATTGTACTTTAATGTATGATCTTATTTGGAACTTTCATCTATTTATCTGTTTCTGACAGAGTGGATTTGTGTCACGCTTTGGAGAGAAGCCGGGCTTGGAGGGCCAGGTGAAGAAAGTGTGCTGTTGGACACTGTTAGCATTGGCCATAAGCATCCTCACCTACTGCTTGTGGAAACGAATGGTTTAGCCAACACTGCCCCCTAGTGACCACAACCTGTAACCATTCAGGAGGGAGCTACCATATGAAAATGTCAGTAGAGGTATTTTACAATGTATCTTTTAATCCTGTAGAAACTTGCCAATAAGTAAATAACCCACACACAGTGTAATTCATTCACAGCATATCCAGTGTGCTGCTAGCAGATGGACAAACATGTGGAACCAGCGATGTTAGGCATTTCAGCCATTCCTACAGTCCAAAGTTGTTTGTGCAGTAATATATGAACTTTGACCAGGTATTGCAAATTAATCTGCACTGAGCTCCAAATCTGGATTACAGAGCATGAACTGTTGATCACCATTTAGCCAGTTATGTTAGAGTATTCAGTTCAATGAACAGTTTGATACAACTATAATAAAGTTCATTTCAACAGTTTTACCAGTTATGAACCTCATTTCTGGCAAAATACCAGTAATGCAACTTCACTTTATGTACAGTGCAGTGCATCTTTTAAAATAAAACGTCAATCATTGATCATTGTAAGTTATAATACACTGACCTAATCAGAAATACCAGGAAGCAAACTATTTTTGCAGAAGAATTTTATTAACATGAACAGCAGACAGAACACTGAAAACTGGAAAAGACTTGGAACGTTGTTTAGAACATTTCACGGCAAAGATTTAACAGCAGAGCTTTATCAGAAATGGTACATTTAAGCCAGCTCCTCCTCGCCCTCCTCCTCAAACTCTCCCTCCTCCTCAGCTGTGGCGTCCTGGTACTGCTGGTACTCAGACACCAGGTCGTTCATGTTGCTCTCCGCCTCGGTGAACTCCATCTCATCCATACCCTCGCCGGTGTACCAATGGAGGAAAGCTTTGCGCCTGAACATAGCTGTGAACTGCTCAGAGATGCGCTTGAAGAGCTCCTGGATAGCTGTGCTGTTGCCGATGAAGGTGGCAGCCATCTTGAGACCACGAGGAGGAATGTCGCAGACAGCAGTCTTGACGTTGTTGGGGATCCATTCAACGAAGTAGCTGCTGTTCTTGTTCTGCACATTCAGCATCTGCTCGTCCACCTCCTTCATGGACATGCGACCACGGAAGATGGCGGCCACTGTCAGATAGCGGCCGTGGCGTGGGTCACAGGCAGCCATCATGTTCTTGGCGTCGAACATCTGCTGGGTGAGCTCTGGCACAGTGAGCGATCGGTACTGCTGGCTGCCTCTGCTTGTGAGGGGAGCGAAGCCTGGCATGAAGAAGTGCAGACGGGGGAATGGAACCATGTTTACAGCCAGCTTCCTCAGGTCAGCGTTGAGCTGTCCGGGAAACCTCAGGCAGGTGGTGACGCCGCTCATGGTGGCAGAGACCAAGTGGTTGAGGTCACCGTAAGAGGGGGTTGTGAGTTTAAGGGTGCGGAAACAGATGTCGTACAGGGCCTCATTGTCGATGCAGTAGGTCTCATCTGTGTTTTCTACAAGCTGGTGGACTGATAGTGTGGCGTTGTAGGGCTCAACAACTGTGTCTGATACTTTTGGGGAAGGCACCACGCTGAACGTGTTCATGATACGGTCGGGGTACTCTTCACGGATCTTGCTGATGAGCAGGGTGCCCATACCAGAGCCTGTACCACCACCCAGGGAGTGTGTCAGCTGGAAGCCCTGCAGGCAGTCACAGCTCTCTGCCTCCTTCCTCACCACATCCAGGACAGAGTCCACCAGCTCCGCTCCCTCAGTGTAGTGACCCTTGGCCCAGTTGTTGCCAGCACCACTCTGGCCTAAAAGACAAGAAACGAGATCATGTTTCACAGCATTCGTGGCGCATTATGAGCAGCTCAACATTTCTGCACAAATAAATATTTACCAAAAACGAAGTTGTCTGGTCTGAAGACCTGTCCGAAAGGTCCAGACCTCACAGAGTCCATGGTGCCTGGCTCCAGATCAACCAGCACTGCGCGGGGCACATATTTGCCACCTACAAAAAGCACAGAAGGTATGAGGGGAAATGCAAAAAGGTCACAGTAGTTTAAACAGATAAGTCAGTTCTGCTTTCGACTTACCTGAGGCCTCATTGTAGTAGACATTGATCCTGTCCAGCTGCAGGTCACTGTCACCATGGTATGTACCAGTTGGGTCGATACCGTGCTCATCACTGATCACCTCCCAAAACTGCATAAAAATAAGAAATGTTAAGTATGCAAGCCTTTGTTAGCTCTGAAGCTAACAACTATGACTAAGCATCATCGTCCATTAATCTGTTAATGATGTGCGTTTTATTAGTTTATTTAAATTGATGTTAATCTTAGTGTTTATTAATAACAGTAGACTTCATTTTCCCGCCGTGTTGGATTGGGCGCGCGCGCCCTGACCCCCTATTGGCTGCGACTCATGGTTATGAATTTGAAAAGTCCCAGCTACGTCACTAACCGCCAACACCGCCTACTTCAGGCAGACGCCGGCGCAGTTCAGAGAACGTTGCCAGGTAGGCCTCTATGTGCCGAGAAACCGTTACAAAAAGCCATTTTATTAATTTTGACAAAACCGGAAAAACGTTTTTTCACATAAAGACACACCCTTCTAACGCTCATTAAACGTTATAGGATTAACGTGCCGTTTCTCAATCGAGATCCTCACTTCCCTTTTTTCGCATTGCAGTAAGGGTGGCTGTTTTCTGTCGAACGAACAATGGCGATGTTAAGAGTTGATCAACGTAAACACCATTAGTATCGTTTAAACTGACATTTAACGGTTTTCAGATATATGCTCCAACAGACAGATTAAAATGATTAACTGAAAATTTTATGCCAAAATATGCTTAAATTGTTTTTATTCGTATACACTTCGACGCATTGCGTCCTTTAAGACAAACCAATAAGTAATTCATTTAAAATTAAACGTTTAAAAGACAATTTAAGCAAGTAGGACACAATGGTATTCCCAGGGTGTGGTTTCTGGGACGACTATGGGTACAAAGCACCGGCTCCAAGAGCCGAGAACACGGTGTTCCTGAATGAAATGACTCGTTTTAGTTCTCAAAAGGTACATATAATCTTACTAACCTTGGCACCAATCTGGTTTCCGCACTGGCCGGCTTGAAGATGCACAATTTCCCTCATTTTTCTTTCTGGAGGTAGTCTGGACCTTTCAATGAGTGACTTCGCTTTTCTTTATGTGCGTGCACAACGGCTCAACTCCCTGCTTTATACTACGAAAGAGCCCGCCCCCTGCTCTTGAGCTCCAATTTCTATTGGCTCATTCGCCCAAGCTTGCTTTACAGACAACAATTTAGACCAATCAAATGTTAAGAGTCTCATCCGCGATTGGTCAAATCCGTCTGCCAGTCAAATTCATCTCAAACGTGTGACTAACGTATAATCTGTAGACGTTGGCCTACTTCCCTCATGATGGCGGAAAGGAAATGCGACACTGACAACAGATTTTATAATGCGTTTCACCGCCGCCTGTTAGAGTCTGCTAAAGACAGTGAAACGTTTTATTTCGTCGATCAGGGGAAAACATTGTGATGTGATCAGTTATTAGGCAGCAACCCTAGTTAACTGTTAGCTAACCACAATCCACGTGGCTGACTAGGAATACAATGGTCCAGTTAAGCAGACGTTTCACTGGCGCAAACTGTCGCAGGACCGGTGTGGATACAGAAGTGATTTTCAGTCATGTGCCTCTTAGGCCAGGGAGTCTGCAGCTTTTCATTCCAGCCAGCTAATTTCACTAATACTTCCCCTTTCTCTGGTTCAGTCCGTGGTAATGAGCTGCAGTTTGTGTGGCATGGAAAGCTACATTCTTGGGCTTGGTGATGCGCGATTGAAACCACTAGACAATACCAGCATATTTACAAAAAGGCTCAATGAATAAAGACCGTAGGCTCAGGCCTATAAGATTATCCACAAGGCAGAGAACCAAAAAGAGCCCTGTAGTACAGATAATGCAACAATAATGTGTTATGGTGAAGTAACAGTAAAGACAGATTTAATGAATTGATTGAATAACGTATACAGGATGTGCATTACACCAAACCTAGTCCATGTAACGCCCTTTCCTCCAGTAAGATTGTAGGCAGCATACATTGCTGACTCAGACACTGGAAGTCTACACGTTTGTATTGTATTGTACGCTGTAAAACACAGGAATGAGGGCAGGTGGGCTTATTAATAGTTAATCTGAATGCCGGGCAAGAATGTGGCTGTGACGCCAGGCTCCTGCACTGTGCAGTTGCCACGGCTGTGTCCCGATGACCGACGAGGGGGAAACATCACTCCCAGGTGGTTGTCGCCATGACGATAAGGCTTTCCCAGTGGGTGTTGTGGACTTCGGTGCGTTAGTACAGGGCTTCAGCTTTCCATGGGCCTGCTCAGCCTTTAGTGCAGTAAATATACATAGAGCATGCCATACATTTTTGTGTAGATTAGTTGTTGTGCAGACCAGTAAAGGGTTTTGTGGAGGTTTATGGATAGTATTTCATTCAGTGTATCTCATTAAATGTAAATAGTGTTATTCATATTCACTCAGCCTGGGCCTGGGTGAGCACCACTGCTATGCTTATACCATACAGTATGTAGGTCATTTTCATAGTCTCTACTGTGTGTGCATTGTAATTTGACACACAAAGGCCTCCTCTGTTTGCTCCATGACAGAGCTATGTCACAGAGAGGATGAGTCAAGCAAATATGACCAACTAGCTTGTACCATAGCGCTGTTCCCCCCTCTATATTGGCAATTGTTTTGAGGTGTACTTGCTCAAACTGTAAGACAAAATATGTCAAGTTGACCCACAATGTTTAGCCCTGGTACCTGGTACCACTGTAATCAGTGTTTAGCACTCCAAAGGCACCAGCAGGATGCACAACCCCAGCTACACTGCTGAGGTTACTAAATTCCTCACGAGCTCCAGGGATGTTGCTCTGTCACTGCAGCCTGAAAAAGGATGTGCTCTATTCACACACTGCAACCATGTTCTTCAAAGTAATTCCTATAGTCAGCCTGTTCTTTTTCAATATTTAACCAAGACCGCAGAACAAATTTCAAATTGTCCAGGCCCATCAGCCCTGCAGTATCACAGAGAAGGGTAGCTAGACCACCAATTCTGAATGGGAATAGTTATATATAACAATAGACTGTATAATTAATTATTATTAAACTTTTTTTTTTCATGTTTGATGTTGTACATCAGGGGTCCTCAACATTTCAGGTCAAGGACCCCTTAGCTGATGGAGCAGGAACCTCCTACAACAGGGATCTCAAACTGCCAGTCATTTCAGGCTCTCTATCCCCCCCCCCCTCTGGCTCACAACCTGATTTTGAAAATATGAGGCAAGATGATTATGGTAGGATAGGAATTTGTCCAGTTTGGTTCATGAAAGATTACCTGCAAAATTGTACTTTATATTAAATGCTTATTTAAGCAAAAGTTTGCATGCCAAGTAAGATGGTTATATGATGACTATATACCCCATAAACATTAGCATGTGTTAGCATGCTGACATTAGCATTTAACTCTGAGCACAGCTTCCCCTTGAAATCAATGAAACAAGGCAGAGGAAACACTACTGCTGTTGTCCAAAGGAGTCGTTAGAATCGACACCAAAGGACATTTTCTTGTTGCTGCCTCAAGCAAATGTTTGCATGCTAAGATATTCAATCAATCATATTGATTGTAAAATAAATGCCAACAGTACAAAACAGTAACATAATTCCTATTGATGATGGAGAATATATAAATAAATGAATATTCTTTTTCTTAAACAAAGTGTATCTAGTATATACTAAGTGAGTATCTGCATTAATATTAGGTGGGTTAGAGGATAAAATGATCATCCTAAACCAATAAAATTAAGGCATCACAACCTTTATTTTTATCTATTACACAAAACTTTAAACTCTGCTTCACTGCTCTTGTAGTTATACATCTTTGTAGGGCAGAATATAAGCTATTAATAATAAATGAGAACCTCCCATTAAGGCCTACAACTGGAAATGTGGATGACAAACCTGTAGTAAAACTGCATTACAGAGATGGAGCAAAATGGTAGACATATACCATCTCTCTATAAGTAAGGGCACATTAGCCAGATACATACGTATTTGAAGTGATGGAAATAAGCAGCAGATTTGCCCTGCTGTTGAATAATACAGAGGGAGAATAGCCTGATCCCTCGATTGATTTTTCCCTATCTCTTGCTATGCGTGATGTGCCTTTAAGAGGGCTGTGTCTGTTTGGCTGCTCTCCAGAGAGTTGAGTCAAGTCCATTTGATGCTAATACAGCCAGACAGTCACCAGCAGGCTATGCACAGCCACAGCCCCACAGTGTACTGAGCACGACGGTCAGCGTGGTGCAGGGGAAGTCCACCATGCATCCTGCTAACACAGGATATCATATTACAAGAATACAACAGTGTAATAATGTTGGGGTGTTGCTGCAGGCCCAGCTGGCTGCACTTGGGGGGAGGGTCTAATTCTACTGTCTACATCTCTGGGACTTGATTGTGTGTGTAATAAGGATTCTGTGACCCTCAGGGTTATAGTGTGTATCTGTTTAAGCAATGAGCTTAAATCATATCTTATTCATCACCAAAATGTTATCAGCAATAAGACTGGCAACCTTTAATGGTCTTAGGACTGCATTGCAGCCTTTCTGGCAGCTGGAGGCTGAAAAACCACTTCCATCATATTAAGACGCCAGGAAAGGGGCGGGATCAGGAAACAGCAGGGTTTATGGGAAATGTGGTTTTAATAGGAGAAAGAACATTCACAGACAGGAAATGTATTCACACTTTGAGTCACTGAGGGCGTTCACATGTGATAGAAGTAAGAAGTAAGTTAAGCTAACATAATTTAATCCTCTAAAACATCAATCAATCATTCCCATGAATTAAACCCAACTCAAAAATGTATTATTGTAGTAATAACTCAATTGTTGTGAGTGAACTTAAATCTGTGCAGTATTTAATTATTGGTGATTTAATTCCAGTCTGTTCCACTAACTCATTTTCTTTAGGTTGACTTTAAATGATTACAAAATGTAAGCCCCAAAGCCCAAAAATTAATTGGATACATTTTGATAATAAATTAATTGTGAATTGTTTTTTTTTAATCATTTATCAGCTGTTTTGACAGCTAATTTAATCATTTTCTTTAGTGGAAGAAAATGGAGTAAAAGTGCTATAAAAAATGTTCATTTGAGTTAGTCTTACTTCATTCAGATAAAATCTGTTTTACTGTTTTTTATTTTGTTCTATGTTTTAAAAAAGTTTGGATAAATGCTGCATATGATTGTAATATGCTTACTAGTATTGAGTATGGTCAAAAGTCAAGAGTTTGAATTAACTTAATTTACCTTTCCTTAACAGTAAATGAGTTACTCAAATAAATTTCTTTTCAAATATTTCAGAAATCAAGACGGTGATAAATCAAGACACACCTTCAGGCAGACGATCAGAAACCTGGATACTGTTATGATTGCAAATACAGGGATATGAATAACCCGGAGTTTCATGTTCCATGTAAATGCCATATCCAAAATATGATCAAAACATATGATCATAAATGTACACTTTTTTTTATCCCGATTGAAATCATTCTGATTTAAGATTTCAGGTCAACTATTGGGACATGGGAGGCCTATAATGGGATCATTTTTTAAAATGCAATGGCATGTTCAAGGCTATATAAAAATGGCCATACCTTGTCTTCATTTGGAGAAACAAAATGATACACAGCTGGTGGGAGAAAGCACTTGCTATTTGTTTCAACAATGGACTCATTTGTTTACAGAAATAACATCAAAGTTTACTATTACAGTATATTTGTAATTAATGTTAGATTTGAATTTCCAAGTTTCTTATGTTTGAAATAAATTCTTCGCTGTGTGCACATAAAATGAACGTTGAGGTGTACTGAACACATTTATCCTTCTAGGGAGGAATGTATGAATCTAAAATCCTTAACAGGTGCTGAGACAAAAGTCAAACCCACAACACAGAGGAACTCCCTGTCTATTGTGCATACAGGATTCATTCTCTAATCGTCCTTTATTCAGCAACAAATAACTGCAGTGTGACTGAGTTAACCTCAAAGGAAGAATGAATCAAATCAGTCAGGTTTCTGAATGTCTGCTAAAGCTGAGCACCTATAGCCACAAGGGGGCACTTTATGTAAGCTAAACACAGGGTTGATGGGGGATCAGGCAAATATTCAATGAATTGTTCTAGGCTATTTCATGGTCACCTTGGTTGAAAATGATTGTGAGTTTAACCCTAACAGGACACATATCCATGATGATTGACAGGTTTAGCCATCCCCCATCCTGCGCTTTGTTCCTGGATAGAGAACGGAACATTAGGCAAAACAGGCAGACACAGAATACATTCATTCATATCTCTCCTGCGTCCTCCTGATACACTGCATATTTGCATTACTGCTAACTCACTACACTTCCCTGTGTGTTCCCAGCATACAGTGCAGCCCTGCTGTCCAGACATACTGTTTATACACAGACTGGAAAGGTAGTGATGATGATGGGCTGTGTAGAAAGTCAGTGCTTACACACCTGACAACATCCTAAATGAGTATATAGTATTCGATGATTAATATTAATATTTGATTATTTAAATGAACAGTATGTCATTTCTGCTGCCATGGGAGTCTATGGGAACAAAAGTTGAAGTTTGAGCAAGTTCTAAGCTGCCTACACAAATATAAAAGTTTAAACCTTTGTCAATATTGACATTCTAAACATGTAGTTCAGTTCACTTTACAGAAACCATGAACACCAAATTTTTAAATGATCAAATAAATGATTCCTAATTCATATGTTATTCTAGGTTTGAAGAAATGGTTTATGGTAAATTACATCACTAGCTGCTGCGCTATAAAAGTCAATAAAGGATTTAATTTTTTTGTAAATCTAATAGTTTAAAATCTATTTGAATCATAGATATGAACGGTAGATAAAATATGCTTTATTTAGGTTGTTGGTTTGTTAAGAAAGCATGTTCTGTTGTCTTATGCTGCCACCTAGTGGTACCTTTTGTAGTCATTTTCACATGGACAGTAACTGCTGAAGATATGCCTTCATTTAGCATGTTCTGATGATGGTCTTTTCAAAATATCCCATAGGTGTTCAGCTGGGTTGAGATCTGGGCTCATATTTTTCAATCTAATTTCAACAATACAATTTTCCTGAATTAGTTTAATTCGTCATTCCAAAAAATGCCCCTTGGGGTGTGCTCCCCTCAGTGTCTGTACTGCAGCCATTCTGAGGAGAATGTAAGTGTAACATCTGATAAATAGCTAAACAGCTATTATGTATATATATATGATTCTTTCGTCAAAAATTGCCCTTTTAGCAGTTTATAAACCTATAGGCCCTTGGCTGGTATGTATAAAACCTTCAGGAAATGGTCTTAAGAATGGCCATAAACTTTAAATTATAAGTCGGAAAAAACTTAGTCAAAGTTTCATTCCTCAGTACTGACTAGAGTGACTCCTATGTGTTGTAAAATAAGGACTACAGCCATACCCACAATGCCCTCTCTCTGCATCAGCCAATAGCAGGCCAAGTATAACCAGGGCTGCCAGAGCTGCATCACATCATCACAGCTTCATGCAAACTATCATTCATTGTATATGTACGTTGAAATATAAATATACATATAAATATTACCTATTCTTTACACTGTGCAGCTCTCCTTTATATATTTAGATTTATATATTTGATATTGTATACTATATCTTCTTCTATATATCAGTCTATATATCCTTATATTTTTCAAATTATAAAAATTAAAAACTGTGCAATTATATTTATTTCCACTGTGCAGCTACCTCCTGCTGTAATCTTGTGCAATTTCATCAATATTTCAAGGCAGGGTTAGTAAGTAAGGTAAGCAGTAATTTCTTTTCATGAATAAATCAGTTTTTATTTGGTTTATAAGTATCATAAAATAACTATATCTGAATTTCATTATGCCATCCTGAGACACATTCTGTAACATATAATTCCACATTGATTTGATTGATTGATTGATTACACCTTTATATTAAACCTCAATAACATTTTAAAGCATTCTGACTCAAGACATGGTGTTCGGTGTCGTGGGGCTGGGGTTGCAGGAAGGGTCAAGGTCATCTACAGCAGGGTGCAGGTTATTCTTGGGTGCACTCCATCTCCTTCACCGGCAGTGTTCTGTGCTCCACCCACCTCGCTGCCAGCTGTAAAATGCACAGCCTTTACGCTGGAAAGTGACAGTAAATACAAGTGTTCAACTGATTAAGTAAGCTAAAGCATGAGAAACTGTGGACAGCACAAAAAAAGTTACCCACAACAATTTTCCAATATCTTCTTTGTGCTCTTTTAAATCTAATTTAAAAGCGCATATCTAAAATCTACATGAATTATTTAATGTCTTGCTGTGTATGTCTAATAATCCATTCTATTGTTATTTTTAATATCTAATATCTATCTCAAAATGTACATAGACACATCCTGTTTCCCTCTGGAAACTTGTAAAGTTGACCTCTGCAGTCTCATGAGGCAATGTATATGTATATATATAGGTATATGTTACCTAGTGGGAGTACATTTTTCTCAAAGTAGCCGGACATGTTCATGTTGCCAGCTGGCCGGTACTGCCCAACCACAAAGACCCTGCGGCCATCAGTGGCCATGCCCACGCCCACTTCAGTGCTGTCTTTCCACACCACCTGAGTAAAATGACCTCCAGGGACAAACACAGCAAATTCATAATACTGTACATTTACACCTGAAACTAAATGAAAGTAAATTCATAGAAACTACAGCACAGGGTCTAATCTAATTGACCCGTCCTAAGTCCTGCCATGTTTTCCTTAAGGAACCCCTTTTCCATAATTTAGTAAACTGATGACACCTGACTCATTGACATATAATATGTATATTTCATATTATATTCAAAACTGTGCAATGAAGCCAAACAGTGAACTCAGTAACTGCAAGCAGTTTGTGTAAAACCAGTGATTTGGATAATTTTTGAGAAGATTGTTTCCTGTTTAGGGAACCTTTTATACAATTCTCTGTCTGTATTATGTATTTTTAAAAATAGTTTTTCACAATCATACAGACTTAACAGGCTTCTTTTTTCTTGTCCCAGGCCCTCAGCCATTATTCTATTTGACAGTTTACTTTAAATGTTTAGGGATACACCTGTACGTAACATTAACTTTTATATGCAATTACACGTTTCTAATATGGACTTCCTATGGAACTTGTCAGGGTGATTGTGTTTTACCGGTGCCGCTTTGGAATCCAGGGTTGCTCCAGTTGTAATCCTTGATCTCACTGTACCATGAATCCACTGCTTCTTTCCCTAAAACATGACAGAGAGAGAGAGAGAGACAGAGACAGCAAGAGAGAGAGAGAGAGACAGCAAGAGAGAGAGAGTGAGAGAAAGAGAGAGAGAGCAAGAGAGAGAGAGTGAGAGAAAGTGAGAGAAAGAGAGAGAGAGTAAGAGAAAGAGAAAGAGAGAGAAAATGCATAAAAAGAACATGATGTAGCATTTGAATAGGTAGAAGGTGAACAAATCAATCAGGTATGGATGGTTTGAGTAAAGAACTGGAAAGATGTAGGAAAAAACGAATGATCTAATAAAAGGATGGCGAACAAAAGGGTTGGATCTTTAACCCACCTGTCAGGTTAAGGGTAGCTGAACTCGACTTGCAGTAGACGTTCTCTCCGTCCTTAGTGTCACTGTGCTGCAGGCAGCCCGTTGCCAGCAGGTTATCGGCCCATGTCTGAGCCGCAGCGTTCAGCTCGGCATTAAGGGTCAGTGGCGCCGTGTTGTGCTTTGCCCTGTAGGCATTGTGGGTCTTCATGAACTCCTGTTGAAAGCTTGCATCTGCACAGAAAGTCATTATCAATCGATGAGCTTTTAGCGCTTGGAGGAAACTTATGCAATTACTGATGCTGGCATGTTCAGGCAGGACAGGATGAATGCCTTGTGATCACACAAATATCCTCAGTGATTTTGTGCTCTTGTGGAAAATAATTTCTGAGCATGCAATGCACTAACCTGCCATTGTGTATGTGATTTTGAAATCTGAAATCAAATAAGAATAAAAAAATATAATAGATGATTAGAAATTCACAAATATTCTGAAAAAGCATTAGTCAGGTGCTCAAGCAAAGTGTGATGGTGATGAAAGGAGCAACTTCACACAGCAAAAACAAATACCTTCCTGTGACAGCAGTATTCTCCGGCACTTACCCGGTTCAGGGGGGTTTCCTCTGGTCTGCACAGATGAGGTCTCCTGTAAAGATTCAGTTTCTCTTGCTGTCTTGAAGCCGGTATTTATACGCACGAGCCGGACCTCTCCCTCCTCATCTATATGTAGGAGGAGACAGACACCCAGCCCTCAACTGTAATTATTTAACTGCCACATATCCATTTTGAAAATGACTCATAGTACACAGGATATTCCACATTCTCACATTTCAATTCAGTGTTTCTTCTGCAGGTTTTTGGGTCATTTTCCCAGATTCCCCAGATACAGCAGATAAATACATTAAATAAATACATGTTTTCTTTTGTGATTACCAAATCAAGTATATGATAATTAATAGGTGTTATTTTGGTTCTTAGGTATTTCTTTGTTTGCACATGAGTTTAGCCACAGACAATATCCAGGTGTAGCCTCCTGCTTAGTGTGGGCTACCACCCTGGATCTAGGTAAGTGTCTTTTAACAACATGCAATTAATATGGCAATTAAAGAACTGCAGACATACTGTTTCACCAAAGTAAACATGTAAACAAAGAGCAGATGGGTGGAGGAATGTTAAGGTGCTGTCAAACAAGGTAAATTCTTCGACTCCTTCCCTCCATCCGTCAGCCATCGCCTACAGTTGCTGGTGGTTTTAACGAGTCGAGGCACGAGTTAAACACAGACAAACAGAAGACTTCAAAAGCACATGGACCTCATTAGCTGACTTTAAAACCCTGTACTCCTAGGCCCTTTATTCATGCTCATGTTTACCACAAATTCAGCAAATGTTGTCCCAATCATAGTGACATGATAAGTTACTTACCACCAAAGCTTTACTGTGGACTCTGAACCATCTTTAGCTCACATAAGTAAAACTGTCATGTAACATAAGCATTCATTCTTTTCTTTGAGACCACCGGATTGGCACAGTGGTTGTCCTGAAGCAGAGGGGTCCACAAACAAAAGTTTGCGTTTGTTGAGTAAGTGTTTCTTATTCAGGAAGTTGCCAGTGATTGGTTTGTCCATTCTGGGCTACTGTAGAAATATGTTGGTTCAACATGGTGGACGCTGCAGATCATTATTTTATAAAAGGATCATATTTTTGCATGTAAAATCTTACTAAAAATAAATTTAGTAGAGTACAAAGTACAATATTTATTATAATAGTATGAAAGTCAAGTTAGCATACAGTGGAAATACTCAAGGTATGGGTGTTGGTCTGTTTGCACCAATTTTTCATGAGAGAATTTGTGTGAACAGGCCCTTTAAAATAATCAGGTTAGACTTGAAAGGAAATCTTCTGTGAAAAGTAGAGTACAATTCTGTGGAACTTAATAGACAATGGCTTAATAAACATACAGTATCACATAACCACTTCCATTTAACTTCTGTTTGAACTGCTTGTATAAAGCAGATAAGACTGATAGCCAGGGTTGGAATTACACAGTGCCCTGTTTGTTTTGCTAAACATGTCACATGCTCGTGAATGTGCAATTGTTCCAAAACATTGTACTGTTACTACAGACAGGTAATTCGGTACAATAACATTTCATAGAGGCTAAATAACAACAACATAAGGCTAGTGTTTCAAAATCAAAGAATACATTTATTAGTCACCAGAAAAACAATAATACAGTAAAATAAAAAGACTTCTTCTTGCGCTTTTACAGAGGCTGGTATCAGTATTAACATTATGATCTGATCTCTGTGAATGTAAACTTTAATTTCAGGAGTTCGTTAATCAAAATTGATTCACTGAGAGATTTGCTTTTACATGGGTAAACAAACAACACTTTTGAAATGTATATGGCCAAATAAACAAACAATATTGACATATTTTACTATTATTGTTTATTTAAGGAGCCTGAATGGACATAAAATAAAATGAAACAACATTTGACACAAAAATTGATGAAAACGTCTCTAAGCAGGCTTTCAGCAGAGCCCATGTCCTTTTCCCTCTGCTAGTAACTCATTGCCAGAGACAATCAGCAGCTTCCGGGTTCCAGTAAAGATCATACAAGAGGGTGAAGGCAATAAAAAACTGTGTGAGTGTGCATCTGCTCTTGATTTTTCACATTTATTTTTTTTAAAGAGAGACATTTATATTAAGAGAGAAGAAATCAAAGAACAGTGACAGAAGACCTCAACAGTACATTTGTATTTGTGAGAAAAAGAAGCTCCATTGCACACCATAGGAAGATAGTACCAACAAAAACTGGCTAGTTCGGACGATATATCTTTATTGGGTTATCAAGACACAA